TGGATTCGTGTGTTCTATTTCTATGATGTGAAACGGGTCTCAGCCTTGTGTTGTGGTGGTACTGGTGAGCTTGCGGTACAGCTCTTTCATTTGAGTTATTTTCATGATTTGAGTATGTTCGGATTGTTGTTTATTGGAGCGCGTATTGCGCAAGTTGTGGCTTTTGTCTGTATTGAGGTGTCATGTCACCAGAGTATTCGTGTGGATTAGATGAGATCGTGGGGATCTTTAATGAATACTAACGAATTCGATTTCAGCATGTTGGAAGGATAAATATCGAGGTTCGGCTCAGAAATTTGCTATGGTCTTTGCCAAAGGAGAAGTGGCTTCATGAATGGTTGATCTAAGAGATGGTTAAGGCTTACTGTGTACTTTATTTATCACTGGCAGTATATGAAAGTGTTGGGATGAGACTTTAGTTGATAAGGGGTTTTCTATCGGTATTCGGTTGTTCTGTGCAGCTGCTGTGATTAGAAGTTATCGCTGCAAGCGTTTGAGTTATGTAGTATATCATGTAATTGCACCTGAGGTTGCAGATAGGGGTTGTTACAGCTTGTTCGGGCTTATTCACAGTATAAATGTGATCGTATTGAAGATTTCAGAAGTGGAAATGTGGTTCTATGGTTTATGGGCTAGATTGGATTGTGATATTTCAGTTATGATGTGTAATCGGACCTATATGAGATAGGGTGACGTGGGATCACCCCCGGGTATGTGCATGGTAAGGTTATTCAGCAATTGGTCGGCTTTCGGAACAACTCTGGGCACGTTCGAGGACGAACATATGTTTAAGTGGGGGAGGATCTAACGACCCGACCGGTCATTTTGAGCTTTTGCACTTTGCTCGCCAGTTCCCGGGCATGACTTGCCCCGTGTAGTGTATTATGACTTATGTAAATCGTCGGCTTTGGTTGCAGGATGATCAGAATGAATTTGGAAGAACGGTTCTTAGTTTGAAGCTTGAAATTTGAAAGGGTTTGACCAATATTTGACTTGTTTGTATATGATCTCGGATCGGTATTTTTACGATTTGGTTAGCTCCACTAGGTGATTTGGGACTTAGGAGCGTGATCGGAATGCATTTTGGAGGTCCGTGGAAGGTTTAGGCTTGAATTGGCGAAATGGAGATTTTGGCGATTTCCGATTGGTAGGCGAGATTTTTATCTAGGAGTCGGAATGGAGTTCCGAGAGTTGCAGTAGCTTCGTTATGTGATTTGGGATGTGTGTGCAAAATTTCAGCTCATTCGGACGTGGTTTGGTTGGATTTTTTATCAAAAGCGGAATTCGGAAGATTTTTAGAAACTTAGGCTTGATTCCGAGGTGTTTTGGTTGAGTTAGTGTTGTTTGAAGTGTTTTGATGATTGGGAAAAGTTTGAATAAGGTTTTTGGATATGTTGGTGACTTTTGTTGAGGTCCCGGGGCCTCGGGTGAGTTTCGGGTGGTCAATCAGACCACTTTGAAGTTTAGAAGCTGCTGAAGCTTTGCTATTGCTGGTGTTTTTGCACCTGCGGTATGGGGACCGCAGGTGTGGCATCACACGTGCAGAAAGGGAACCGCTGAAGAGAAATGTTGAGGGCTTACCGGGAAGCGCAGATGCGCTGTGGGACCGCGCCTGTGGAGTCGCAGCTGCGGATGGCCTATCGCAGATGCGATTTTGGACTTTCAAGTGATTTCCGCAGATGCGGTGGAAGGACCGCAGATGCAGTACCGCAGAAGCGGGTAATGTGCCGCAGATGCGAAAAGGACTTGGCAGAACATATAAGTTATTTCATTACGCGAGTTTGAGCTATTCCACCATTTTTAACTTCGGCTTGAGAGCTTTTGGACGATTTGGAAGGAGGAATTCAAGGGGACTTCGTTCAGGTAAGGATTTTGGACCTAAAACACAATTCTATGGTAGTATTTCATGAATTTAGGGATGTAATTAAAGGAATTAAAGGGCTAAAATGGAGGATTAGGGCTCGAGTTTAAGAGGCCTTTAAATGGGGATTTGCGGGGCCATTTGGACTCCAATTTTAGTATTTTTGATATGTATGAACTCGTGGGGAGATAAGGAATCCGTTGGTGTGAAAATTTCTGAATTTTGAGATGTGGGCCCGGGGGTCGGGTTTTGGTAATTTCGGGATTTGTGCCCTTTATTGATTGTTTTCGCTTGGGCTTTGTTCCCTTGGCATATTTTGATGTCCTCGTTCTGATTTTGGATAGATTCGACGCGTGTGGAGGCCAATTAGAGGGGCAAAGGCATCGCGAGCTAGAGATTTAGCCGGTTCGAGGTGAGTAATGATTGTAAATGATGTTTTGAGGGTTTGAAACCCCGGATTGCACATCTTAGTGCTATATTGAGGTGAGGCACACGCTTGATGACGAGTGTGGGGTCGTGCACTATTGGGGACTGTGACTTGGTCCGTCCCGATTGATGATTTTACCGCGTATCTGACTGAAATCTATTTTTTATCATTATTATTTGGGCTGCATACCATATTTGGGCTTCGTGCCAACTATTTGAACTCAGTCATGTTATTTTCCACTGTTTTCAAAACTCAGCCATGTTCACTCAGTTTTAATACTCAAATGATATTTAAATGATGTTTTGGCCTGAGAAACACTATTTTACTGTTGCCCGAGAGGCTTATGTGATTTTTGACTAAGTAAGGCCGAGGGCCTGTGTTGTGAGGATATCTTTTGGGTCGGGCTGCACGCCATAACGGTGATACACTGATACTGATTTGAGGCCGAGGTCCTGAGATATGTACGCCATGAGGTGGCTTGATTGATATGAGGCCGAGGGCCTAGATTTGATGCCACGAGATGGCTTGTTATTGCGCTTGGGCCGTAATGGGCCCCTCCAGGAGTCTGCACACCCCCAGTGAGTGCGGGTACCCATTGTGATGTGAGATATAGCCCGAGGGGCTGGTATGGTTCTATGTGATTGCCCGATGGGCTGGTATTGTTCTATGTGATTGCCCGAGGGGCTGGTACTGTTCTGAGACATTGCCCGAGGGGCGGATTTGTTGACATTGTCCCCGAGGGGCAAACCTTATGTGCTTATCTTTCTCATTTGCCTGTCATTTACGTGCTTAATTGTGTATTTGTGCTCGAGGGGCGGATTTCTGTGCTTATTTGCACTAGTTGTTCTGCATTCATTTGCGTAACTGTTGAAAAGGTCGTTTTCGAAGAAGTTTAAACTGAGCTAAGATGTTTAAAGGATTTTACAGCTTCATTGCTTTCTTACTGGATTTTGAACTGCTTCTATACATCATGTTGATGCACTTTTCGTGATTTCTTACCATTCAGACTTTAGTTATGATTATTACTCACTGAGTTGGAGTACTCACTTTACTCCCTGCACCTTATGTGCAGATTCAGGTATTTTCTGGACCGGCAGCGGGTACTGATTTATCGGAGGCAGAGTCGTCGGAGTTTAGCAAGGTAGCTACCAGCGTTTGCAGCACTGCTTTCTCTCTCTTCATTCTATTAGACTGTACTGAGCACATTTCAGTCATTGTCAGTTGTATTTAGACATAGTTGATGCTCATGACTAGTGACACCCCGGTATCGGGCTGAGTTGGGTTGTATTCCGCAAATTGTTTTGTATTGTTATTGTTACTTCTGAGTTTATATCATGTTTTAGACGTAATGCTTATTGTTTAATTGCATAAAGACTGGATTGGGAATGTGTCGGCTGGCCTTGTCTTCACGAGAGGCGCCATCACGACCGGGTCTGGGTTTAGGGTCATGACACATTCTCTCCCACTTAAACATACGTTCGTCCTCGAACGTGCTGAGAACTACACCGGAGTTGTCCGAAATCACTGTTTAACACCTTGAGCACCTACTCGTGATAGCACAGCTCAGTTGAGCACATTAACTCGATCAAATCTCAAGATATTCTTTTTTATTCAATCAAATAAGCTTAGAACCCAAATTTCAACACCCGAAACTCTCTGTCAGGCCTGCTTTCATCCTACGAACACCGTATCAATCACCACAAGATGCACTGATAGATGACTGCATACCTTTGCTGAATTCACACTATGCACTGCATGACTCACATGACCATAATATCATTCTCCGATAACGATAGTGGAATTCCACGAATCTGATGCCCCAATGCCCCTCATGGCTTATATAAGTCTTGCCCCAACTTTTGCATTGCCGCCACGACGGAAGTGGTGTAGAAATTCATAACCAGCTGCCGAGTCGACAACCCGTCGAGTCTATACTCCTGACAAGAATCATTACCTCATTCTGAACCAAATAATGGTATTTGCTCTTTAATATACTTCATATAATCCGATCGCACTAATCCCAGATCCAACAATCTCGTCTTACCCAGTACCAGCTACTCAGGCAATAAGCCACCCCAAACATGACCAAAAGTCTCATATGATGCCACAATGTGCCAATAAGCTACAAACTCGAATATGATGCATAAGAAAAACAAACCCTGGTAGGGACTACTCAACCCACGCAACTAATTGCCCCACTCCACTATCCTTTATACAATTCTGAAAGTCTACTATCTCAGTTTGATGAATAGGTTGACCATTTATTCTATCATTGACAGATAGAACACTGTTAAAGTCTCCTATCACCAACCATGACTCCTGCATTGTGCTATAAATCATCCTTAGTTGTTCCCGTAGCTCATTCCTTTTATGTAACTTGTTCTTGCCATACACAAAAACTAATACAACATTAAAATTGGGACCCCCTATCCTTCACTTGACAATAAATCACTTGAGTAGTGACCATCGGGATGTTGACTTGCACCATAGTGTCTTTCCAGAATACCCATAGTCTACCAATAGGATTTATTTTCTCATTTGAAAATATCTGCCAGTCATTTCCAAATTTTCTTTTAACGTTTCTAACACTCCTAGGCTTTATCTTTGTCTCAAGGCAGCCTAGTAGAGTAATTTTATTTTTCAGCAGATAGGCCTTGAGTTCTCTCTGCTTATAGGGCTTATTCAGCCCTCTTATATTCCAGGCACTTATTATCATGGGGGATTTTCCTCAATGAGGTCAATCCCTTCAGTCATTCTTTCAATGCTGCTAGCTTCTTGTATTCTCAATGTACTGTATCTGTTGGTCATTAACAACTTTTCTATCTCATGTCCACTCAGTACTTTTTTGTCGTTTACCTTCATCTTTTGCTTTCCTTTAGATCTTTGCTGTGACTGAAAATTCTCCTCTTGAGCTTCAATGTTCTGATTTTCTTTTTGTTCCTTACCCTGATCATTCATCTCCTTATCCTTTGATATTGCTTTTTCCTGCACCTCTGTTGTTCCTCCTTGATCCACTGTAGCTTTTACTTTCCATTGCATCTTCTTTTGTTGCTTCATTCCAGCTTGTCTATCCTGTTTCTCCTCTCTGTATTTTTGCTTCTTGATTGGGGCGTTTTCACAATTGACTTCATGTTTGCCTATTTGGAAGCAAACTTCACAAAAATCTGGTCTCCATTCATACTCTAAATCTTGTTCCCTGTGTATACCCTCTGCCTCCTCAATTAACAGTACATTTGGCAACTCCTGTGATATATCCATTTCAGTCAACATCCTAGCATAAGAAATTCTTTTACCTTCTGCAGTTAACCTATTAGAGCATATAGGTTTCCCAATACAACTTGCTATTCGCCCTAAATTTTCCTTTGTCCAATACTCCACTGGTAGCCCTGGGAATATCACCCAAATTGGGATATTTCTTGTTTTCTCCTTACTCATTTGAAATTTAGGTTCCCATTGCTTCAATATCATTGGTCGATTATTAAAGGTATATGGTTCCTTCTGTATAACTAGCTTCTTGTCATCTTCAAATTCAAATTTGAAAACAAAATATCCATCATCATGAAGAAATACTTGTGGAGTTGCTACCAAACTCCACACACCATACACAAACTTAAGCATGTCTTTAAACGATGGATTTCCTCCCAATACATACCCAATTAGCGATGCCTGCCATTTCTGAGTTTGCTCCTTTACTTCAATTTGATTCAGTCGAACCACCTTCACTCCTTCTTTGATAATTGGGGGATAATATTCCAATTGCATCCCCTGTCGTTGAGATCTGTTTCATTTAACCACCTCCGCTAAGTTTATCTCTGTTCCCCCAGAATTTGGCCTCTGATTTGAGAACATAAGTTTCTTAGCTGCTTTCGCCATTTCCGTCTCATTTGGTGCAGGATCTGCAGGAGTCTTAGTTATCGGAGCTGCCTGTGCTTGAATTGCCACCGGCTCCTCCGATTTCTTCCTCTCTTGTCCATGCAGAACAGTTGGTGCACTCCCCATGCCTTTCATCCAATGGAACAGTTGCACCGAGTCTAGAGCTTGGGGAATCCCCGTTTCTGGTGTTACTAGTCTTGTATCTTCATCGTCTGCCTTATCTTCCTCATCTACAGTCGATTCCTTAGCTATGGAGTTCTTCTTCCTCTGTCTCGCCATCTCCACCAGTGCAAGTTAGCAGACCCAGCTTAACGTGCGCCGAGAGAGAATTTACAATAAAAAACCTTTTTAAATTTTGAATTAATTAGTTATTCTATTTGAATTAATAAATATAGATATCTTATAATTAGCTATAATAAAAACTAAAAATTAATTAAAAAAAATACCTATTCAAGTTGGGGAATAGTTTCAATTTGGAGTTCTTAAAATTATTTTAAAATAAAAAACGAAATAAAGAAATAATAAATTGCCAATTCAAATGGTTTCAAGTTTGGAGTTTTAAAGTTATTTTAAAAATAAAAACCGAAAATCTATATTTAATAAAGGAGAGGCAAAGCATATTATTAAAACAAGTGGCATAACCACAAAAAGCCAAGTGGCATTGTTAAGACAAAATAAACTACCTTTTTAGCTAAATAAACCTTTTTAAATTTTGAATTATTTAGTTATTCTATTTGAATTAATAAATATAGATATTTTATAATTAGCTATATTGAAAAATACAAAAATCTATATATAGTAAAGGAGAGGCAAAAGCATATTATTAAGACAAGTGGGCATAACCACAAAAGCCAGGTGGCATTTTAAAGACAAAATAAACTACCTTTTTAACTAAAAAAATCTTTTAAAATTTTGAATTAATTAGTTATTATATTTGAATTAATAAATATAGATATCTTACAATTAGCTACAATTAAAAAAAACGAAAATATTTATTAAAAAAAATTACCTATTCAAGTTGGGGAATAGTTTCAATTTGGAGTATTATTTTAAAATAAAAAATGAAAATAAAGAAATAAAAAATTTCTTATTCAACTTGGGGTTTGGTTTGAAGTTGGAGTTTTAAAATTATTTTAAAATAAAAAAACGAAAATAAAAATATAAAGAAACTTTTTAGTAAAAAAAATTACATTATTAAATTTTTTAATAAACTACAAAATCTGAAAACTAATCAAATAAGTATTACGGTAGAAAGAAATGTACGAAAAGAGGGGGATGGAGATAATGTTATGATATTTACATTTTTAATTAATTAAAAAAATAAAAGATAAATAAATAACACTCAATAAAAGTATCAATAGTACTAAGTACTTGCTAATTCAATAATAAAAATAAAAAGGAACAAACAATTTATTTGATTACTATATGATGTGTATCCTTTAATTTTTTATAGATTGTATTATATTTTTGCACGCTATATTAAATAATAAAATACAACTAATATTTATTAAATTAATATGATATATTAGATCATAATTTTATAAGATTAATATTCTGTCAAATTTTCGCGCATTGTGCAAGTTCTTATACTAGTACCTATTGAATACTTGAAGTGAAGACAAGTTATGTCAATTAGACTAAACTACTGACATGGCATGGTGTATGTAACACATTGCTATTAAGGCGTGTGAGAGCCATTATTTTCTCTTTTTCTCCAATCTCCTTCTTCTTCCACCATAGTCGCTGCTCTACCTTTCAAATTCAATGTGACCAAAAAATTTTCAGCCAACACTAAATTTTTTTTATTTATAAAATCACTTAAATTCAATAGAAAGAGGGAACCACAGAATTACTGTAACGACCCGCCCGGTCGTTTTGAGCTCTGGCGCGTCGTTCAGCGTTTTGAGGCCATGAGCAGCTTCACTTCAGGTATTATGACTTGTACGCATGGTCGGAATTGAATTTCGGGAAGTTTGGAATTGATTTGGAAAGAAAATTCTCATTTCGAAAGTTTTAAGTTGGAAGAATTGACTAAGGGTTGATTTTTGAGTAAACGACCTCAGAATCAGGATTTGAAGGTTCCAACAGGTTTGTATGATGATTTTGGACTTGGGCGTATGTGCGGATCGGGTATTGGATGACGCGGGAGCGTTTATGCGCCTATCGTGGAAGTTAGCATTTTTGGAAAAATTTCATAAATTTGGTTTGAAGTGAATTTCAATGTTATCAATGTCCGTTTGGGATTCCTTGTTTGAGAATAGCTCCGTATGGTGATTATGGTATTGGGAGCGCGATCGAAAGTGGATTTGGAGGTCCGTAGGTTATTTTGGAGTAATTTGGCTAAAGTTAGGAATTTGAAGGTTTTTGAGAAGTTTGACCGGAGGTGGACTTTTTGATATCGGTATCGGATTCCGATTTCGGATGTTAGAGTAGGTCCGTAATGTCACACATGACTTGTGCGCAAAATTTGAGGTCAATCGGACGAGATTTGATAGGTTTCGGCATCGAATGTTAAAGTTTGAAGTTCTAAAGTTCATTAAGCTTGAATTGGGTTGTGACCCATGATTTCGATGTTGTTTGATGGGATTTGAAGGCTGGACTAAGTTCGTAATGTGTATTGGGACGTGTTGGTATGATCCAATGAGGTCTCGGGGGCCTCAGGTGGATTCCGGGTGATTAACGAATAAACATTTGGAGTTGAAGAAGAATTGAGGCTGCTGGCTTCTACTGTAACCGCACCTGCGAGCTTTTAGCCGCAGGTGCGGAGCCGCAGAAGTGGCCTAGAAGTCGTAGAAGCGGAACAGGGCCGCCCAGCTGAAGGACCGCAGGTGCGGAGCCTTGACCGCATCTGCGCAAGCGCAGAAGCAAGAAGGAATGCCGCAGAAGCGGCAATGGGCATAGGTGCGAAGGAGCATCCGCAGAAGCGGACGCGCAGAAGCGGCAAGGAGTCCGTAGGTGCGGAAGTCGCTGGGCAGAACGCATTAAATAGCGGGGTTTGGCCATTTTTTGCTCATTTTCTCCATTCTTGGGAGATTTTGGAGCTTCTTGAGAGGGGCTTCCACCTAGCAACTTGGAGGTAAGTTAATCCCACCTATTATGAGTTGAATACATTGATTATGTGTAGATTTTAACATGGAAATTAGTGGGAATTGGGGTTTTGAGGAAAAACCCAGAAAATTGTATTTATGGATTTTGACCACGATTTTGGACATGGAATTTGGGATAAGTCATATATTTGAGTTCCTGCTGTTATGGGTAAACTTTGTCTTCGAAAAATTTCGAAAACTGGGCACGTAGGCTCGAGGGCGATTTTGTCAACTTTTCCATCGGGGGTAGAAATTGTTATAAATTGGGTTATAATAAGTATTGAGCATACATTAATGGGTTTGCATAATTATTGGCTAGTTTTGGAGCGTTGGCATCGGTTTGAGTCGTCGGAAGGGCTTGGGAGCCGGTTTTGTAACTTCGAAGCGAGGTGAGTCTCCTTTCTAACCTTGTAAGAGGGAATTAACCCCATAGGTGAAATAATTAAATATGTTCTCCTATTTGTTGGGGCTACGTACGCACGAGGTGACGAGAGTCCGTGCGTAGCTACTAATATGCTTAAGTCTGGGTAGTCTAGGACCCAAAAGCATGCTTTACTTGTAATACTTGAAACCTTGCTGTCAATTTAAAATGCCTAAATCATATAGAATTGGTAAAAGAATTTCTAAAGCAATTAAACATCATTTTCTTGACCGTTAAAGAGAAGTTGCCATTTCTTTGGGTAATAGTTTCCCTAATGAATTCTTGATTGAGTGTTTGGTGTGTTTATTTATATTTGACCACGTCGCATGAATGATTCGCGAGCGGGGTAATAGATGCATCTATGGTTCGCGCCATTCGACCCTCTAGCAGTGCATATTTTATTATTATGATTCGCGAGCGGGGTAATAGATGCATCTATGGGTCTACGTGCTTAATTTGAATTATTGGCTATTATTATTAGATGCAACAGAAAGGGAGTTGCTTGATGCGAAGAAGGATTTAATATAACTTTGAATTGGAAGATATTGTTGCACATTTAGTTGATGTCCATAAGAAGTGAGCGGACTAGTAGAATTGGTGGATGAGCACGGGCTCCAGATGGGTTATTGATGTCATAGCGTTTGTACCCGTGCAGCGACGTTGGAAAATGTCGGCGTGTAATTTACACAGGTGGGTTATCTCCTGCAAGCAGGTTAGCGGTCGCGTGGTATTGATGAAGCTTAGGCAAAGAATTCTACCAGCAATACGGTAAGAGGTCAAATAGGTGAATGAGGTCAGTGATTCAGAGTGTTCATGAAAGGTCAAACAGAAGGATTTAAAGGAATTTGGCGAGTTGATGGTGGAAGATCATGTCAATGATGAAGAAAGAATCTTGATGGCTTCTGGAGTTGTGTAATTGTGGCTTCAAGCTAAGTGGGAGAGTCCCACCGCCTACGATTGGATTGCATGGTTATCTTCTTGTGAGGTTTCGGGTTATCGGCGTATTGGTAAGTTATTTCGGCTAAGGGAAAGAAACATAAGCGGTAATTTGAGCAACGGAATTGATAAAGGCGTGCTATAGTTGGCCTTATTGACTCATGATCAGGCTTTGGGAAGCAATTCAGTCAGGTGCTTCATTGAGATGGGTGTTCATGTGCTAGCGGAGCCTCGGAGTCGATCATATTCGGGACCAAGGCAGAGTGGGTGACTCTCAACAACGGTCCTAGTGAATTCGAAGGTTAAAATACGGTGCCTAAGGATTAAGAATCGAGCTTTTATAGCAGATTATGATAGGAGGCTCGGAATGTTCTATGATGTTTTCGACTTGCGGCGTAGCATTGGGAGGAAAAATAGAAAAAGACTTCGGATTCGTAGAGGAATTA